AATAATAACAACGATAAAGGAAATAACAAGGGAAGAGAATACACCATCTCATCACCAGGCAACCGATAACTCACTCCCCCAGCCGGACCAAGCACCAACCAGTATTTCCTCCAACCCTGCAGTCTCCTAGCCCTTCCGGGTAACTCTCCGTTACCTCTTGGGCATGACATGCTATGGTATGGAATACCTCTTTGGTTACTTTGGGTCAGGTGTCCTGTCTCTGCTTCCTCCTGGCTTCCCCTACTCCCTGGCAGAGCATAAGGCTCACAAAGTCTTTGGCCAAACCAAAACATCATTGTTTTCGGCTCTCTTCCCAGCCCGAAATTCAAAACACAGCACTGCACCAGCTACCAAGAAGAAGAAAGATAACTGCTACTGCTAAACCCAGGACAATGCATATAAAGACATGATGTAGGAATAGTTTCACTCATCTTCCAGTTTATAAATCCTATGGTTAAACTAAGATATGTCCTTAGGCTCTTCTTGTTAGAAAAGAGGGAAGTTTTTAAGATAAAATAATCACATGAAATGGTAGGAACGATTATGTTTTAGAGGTTTATAAATCAATAGTGAGATTTTGTATATTAGAAAGAGTTATAACTTTGCAGTTCCATCTGCAGTCCGGTATCATGGTTAACCTGTAACCAGTGATACAATGGTAGTCTTGGTAGCAAGAGCTTATATAACCATATATGGTGAAGGGTGTATGCGTGAATTTAGAGAAGTATATTGTGAAATTCTATCCAAGCAGAACCTAGAAATCACCAGAGGTAGTCAAGGGAAAATAGAACAATGCTGGCGTCCACATAATGGTTGGGGTATGTCCAGAGGACAAAAAGGTGAAAAGAGCAAGCCGAGGAAGACTTCTTCCTTCATCCGAGGAAGACTCCTTACGTCATCAGGACGACCACCAGAGGGGGGCTGCGCAAGCGCAGAAGAGGCTGATGTCATAATAGACTGATGTAGCAATCCTTAATGCATATGCATTAGTTAATGATGTAATCTGTATTGAATATGTATTAGTTATGTAACTTTCAGTGTATAAATTGCAAACACGATGTGACGAGGTCGAAGCCAGATTTGGGCGCGTGCCCCTGGTTTCCCAGCGCTGCAATAAAGCACCTCATATAACCATTCCGGTGGTTATGTGTCAGTTCTTACGCTAACACTCTCTCATACCATGAGATCTATAGGATTACTGTTTCTGGTGGGTTAGCACTGGCTAGCCACCAGGTGACCACCAAGCTGCTCTCTCAATCCTCCTACTCAGCATTACACAGGGAGAAAATAAGATGATAAAAACCCCAAACCCAAATGCATACACACAGAAAAAAAAAAACCAAAACAAGCAAACTCAAACACCCTTTACACCCATTCCCCTCCTCTCCCCCCCCCCCCCCAAAAAAAAAGAATTAAAAAGAAAAGAGAGGAAAGCAAAGGCTACATGCAGAAGCAGATAAAAATCAAAGGAGATTTATTCCCTATTTCCCATCAGCATATGAAGTCCAGCACTCTCTGGAAAGTGGGACCTCAGTACACACACTGGTTACTTTGGAATATAAACATCTTTATAGGAAATACCCACCATCATGTTCTCTTAGCTTTTATTGCTGTGCATGATGTCATATGATATGGAATATCCCCCTGGTCAGTTGGGGTCTGCTGCCTCAGCTGTGTCCCCTCCCAACTTCTTGTTCCCAGCCTTTGCAGGACCGTTGAAAAGACAAAAAACATTGATGTACCAACACCACCATACTAGTGACAAGTGTGAAATACACCCCTACATGTCATGGTATGAGGAAAGTTAATTCCATCCCAGCCAGACCTTAACCAGAAGATACTTGGTTATATCACAAATTCCTAATTAAGATTACAGATATTTTTCTGTTCAGCATAATTATGGCATATAATAACAGATTTTTTCAAATTATTTCAAAATTTATTGGTGGCAATGTGTTGTAATTTAAGCCCAGTCGGCAACTCAGCCACGAAGTGCGCTCTCTCACTCCCCTCCCACCTTTCCTCCCCCCTGCTCCTGGAGTGTGGAGCAGTTGTTATTCTCATGAGGGCCTGCACAACCCAGGATTAGAGCCGAGTGAGACAGCCTTGAACTCTCTCTGACTCAGCTGAGCTGAGGAGGCCTGGAGTCGAAGAAATGTAAGCAGAATGCTGAAACAGGAGCTTGCTGGCCACAAGGAATGCACCGCTTATCGCAAGGTATGCACCCTGCTGTTGCAGAGATATGTGTGTAAAACTTAGCTTAGCCAATAGCAATGTATAGACAGGCGCGTGGACAGGTTTATGTAGCCAATGACAGATGTACAGCTGTCATGTAAACTATCACCGATGGTATAAATTAGGTGAGCCTGTGCAATAAATTGAACAAGAAGCATAACTCATATTGAGATTGTCTTCTTGATTCGGGTCACTCCTCCGGCACTGGAGGGATGGGGAGGAGAATTGAAAGAATGTAACTCCCATGGGTTGAGATAAGAAGCAGTCCAGTAACTAAGGTATAACACAAACCCACTGGTGCTACCACCAATAATAATAATGATAAGGAAAATAACAAGGGAAGAGAATACAACTGCTCACCACTCGCCAACTGATACCCAGCCCGACTGAGCAGTGATCTAACCCTTCCGGCAACTGCCCCAGTTTACATCCTGGACATGATGTGCTGTGGTATGGATTACCTCTTTGGCTAGTTCAGGTCAGGTGTCCTGTCTCTGCTTCCTCCCAGCTTCCCCTCCTCCTTGGCAGAGCCTGAGACTCAGAAAGTCCTTGATCAGATTAAACATTATTTTGCAAAAACAAAAAACATCGGCGTTATCAGTGCTGTTCCCAGGCTGAAAGTCAAAAACAGCACTGCACCACCTACTAAGAAGGTGGAAAAACGATTGCTACTGCTGAACCCAGGACGTAATGTTGAGCAACTATTGTTTCCATGCATTTAGAAAACTTTTGCTTTAGCAGCCATTTAATCAAATTTGATCATATTAATTCCCTCATATAATCTCTACATGGTAACTACTGGGGCAGACCATTACTGCTGTATTGATTGGGGGCATACATCCTTTACAGTGTAATTTCTGCATCTGTAAGTATATACAATATTTGATGTTAGAAGGATTTTCTCTAGCATTGGTATACTCTCCAGTTTGTGCAAACTGCGTGTAGCTGTACAGGTGTTCAAAGCAGGCATTTCAGACAGTTGGCCTGAATATCCTGGAGGGAGAACTGTGCATTAAAACAAAAACAATGGAAAACTATAAGAATACTCAGCTCTGCAGAAATGGGAGATGGTCAGTAAGCTTCCTGTATAATCATAAATTTCTGGAATTTCTTGGCAGTTTTCTGGGTTTGGTGGGAACTAATTCTCTCAGTAGGGCAGATCTAAGAATGTTTTTGTCTACTTCAAGTAGTTTAACTGCATGAAGTTTTGAATTCTGTTTTTTTTCCCTCGACTTCTGAAAATTGAAAGCACCTTTTGCTCAAAACCACAATAGGGAATCCCCTGCAATGTCTGTATTTAATATAGCTCTATCTTTCAATTATTTTTTACTGGTTTAGAGGAGCCTATTTAATAAATAATGTTTCTTTTTTGGGGGGTACTCTGTCTTATGTTCTTACTGTCCAAATACATGCAAGGCAGAACTCTCCTGTCTGGACAAAATAACTATTCTCAATGGAGGATAGTCTCTTCAAGTCTGACCTCCTGTCTGAATGTACTTCAAATATAGTGCCTTCCATTTTTCTCTCCCCACATTTTTATTCTTACATTATAGTGTCCAAAGTAAAGTAAGGTATTTTCCCCTCTAACACACTGGTCTTTTTTTTTTTCGCTAAAATTCATCCCATTAGTATTTCAGACTGTCAGTCTGCCGAATTCAGAAATAACTGCAATATTAAAGGAATGAGGGAAATTACACTGCATACTTTCAAAATGCATGAGAACTCTGAAGTTCTTTATCTGAAAAAGGCAGATCAATCTTACTTTATCTTATCTGATAACAGCAAAGGTAAATTACAAAGCATGTGGCAAAGACACATAAATTAGCAGTATCCAAAAATTTAGCACTACAATAACTGTGTCAATCACATTAAAATTTCTAAAGTAGTAAGAACAGTTTTAGGTAGACTTCTTGTGGAATTACAGTTTACAATATAATTTATTCTTCCATTCAAAAAGTGTATTTGTTTGGTTTCATTTTAAGTACATGAATACTTAACAATATTGCTTTAGTAAAAGTAAGAACAAGCTTAATAAATTAGATCATTAGGTCATGCAGTCATTTATCTTGCTTATGACAGCCACACATACTTTACTCGTATGAAACAGACAAAATGTATACTGTCAAGCAAAAAGTATGTTGGAGTCAATAGGTTAAAAAAAAACAACCTATAATTTTAAAAATTAAAAGCTAAAAAAAAAAAAAAAAGAAGAATCATAGAATGGTTTGGGTTGGAAAGGACCTTAACATCATCAAGTTCCAACCCCCCTGCGGTGGGCAAGGACACCTTCCACTAGACCAGCTTGCTTTTAAGCCCCATCCAAACTGACTTCAAACATTTCCAGTGGTGGTGCAACCATTTCCAGCATTTTGCAATTCTCATCACATTTTTTTTCCTTATTTCCAATCCAAGTCTACCCTTTTTCAATGGTTTAAAATTGCTGCCCCTTTTCCTGCCACTACTGACCATGGTAAAATGTCTATCTCCATCTTTCTTACAATCTCACTTTATATATGGGTGATTCTGACTTTCCCTTAATATCTTATTTCAGACCTTGTGGGAGACATTGCCATGGACTAGGATAGCTTTTGATGAATGATGAATCCATATTATTAAAAGCCTGGCTGCACAGTACATGTTGATTTCTTTTGGATTTTAATATTGCTATAAATTTGCTGTTTACAGCTATATCCTGTCTTATCTTCAGCGCTTTTCAAAGTAACATGAGTAGCCAGTTTTCAAAGTTCAATATTCAGAATGTTTACCCTGGGATCCAGAAAAATGGACTTAAATGTGCTTTGCAGAGAAAGAACTTTGATCTGATCTCGCATTTCCCAAGAATTATCATCTCCATTCATGGTTGATTAGAAAGAGAACACTGAAGTTTGTTTGTCATTTTGTCCTAAAGGAAACTATGCAAATCAAACATATGAATTCCACAAGGTAGTGCATTGCATTCAGCACATGGGATATGCTAAACTGACATGATTCTGAAATTTCTGGTGATTCTAAGTATGAACAGAAACAATTGGATGTACTAAGTAAATTGTACAACTTCATGTTAGGAAAATGAATTTCTCATAACAAATTTATCTTAGTGTGAAATTATATTCTTCCACAGGAGAGGCAAAATGTTTAAAACATAAAGGAAAATCTGAAGAATTAATTTTAATAGTTTAAAGCTTTACTTTGGTTACACTGATGTCCTAAAATGCTTAGCCAATTTTGAGATTACTTTGCATTGCCAAGTAAACTTTTATCTAGACCATTAGAATGCTTTTTATAATGATCAGTGACCTCTAGGAAGCATTTCAATTTACTGATTTTACAAGGTATTGGATTGCCTTCTGTCATAGGTGAAAAAAGAGAAAAGCTTGAATTGTGAGTGTTAACAGGTTAAAAATAACAGTGGGGATGTGTAATGGTTGTGTAGAATGTTGAATATTTGATCTCTGAAGCAGAAGATTCCTACAGTTGGTACAGTCTGATTGTAAATTTTGCAACAATTTGATTAAACAATACTGTTATGTCCTGAATCCTCCATTTAATGAAGAAAGAGACAAAGGAGAGAAGCAGAAACTAACAGACTGATTATGTACTGTTCTTCTGCATATGCAGTTTTGTAGACTCTGGAAGCCAGGGGCCACAACTCCTGAAGAAGAGCTGGTGCCAAAACCTAGCATTTCTGTAAAGAAGAAAAGGTATTGGAGAAAAGAAAGGAGCCTGTAAAGAAGATGACTTTCCTGGCTGGAGGAAAGATCTTGGAAAAGAGAAATGCATGGAGAAAAAAACCAGGGAAAACCCAGGGAGAGATCTTTGTCAGTGACACTCAAGAGTGGTAACTATGGGCAGCAGCACAGCATGAACTGAAAAGACTTTCTGCCCAGCCTTCCCAGACCAGCAGAGACCTCCATGTTGGGAAACACAGTGCTGTGGGCTAGTGAGCAAGCAAGCATATAAGCAAGCTTCTGAGGTAATAATCAGACTAGATACTCCACTCTCATTGCTTTTTTGTCTAGGTCCATCCTTAAGAATCTACAATTTGATATGCATTATCCAGCCTCACTATTATTTGTCATTTATTCAGTTTTGCCTATTAACAGTGCTTGTGATTCTTACCTTCCTCCCACACTCCAATGATTAGCATGTGCAGTAAGACAGCATGCAATAGCTATGACCTCTTCTGAAGCTTTGACTTCCAACCCTCAAACATTAAATTCTTCTGTTACAAGCACACCAAGGACCCCGTTGATTAGAGAGACCACAGCCATCTGTCACACAACACTACAGGTTGTCATTTATTGTGCCTTGCCTGTGATACCCTCTACAAATTAATACTTTCTCTTTTTTTTTTTTTTCTTAATTAAACAGTATGTCTACGATGGGTTACAATCTGAGTAGTATCAGATAATTTAGAGCATGTCATTGGTCAGATAAACCAAAGGTCATTTTTCTCCTTGCACTGCATTTACTTGAATTTATTAATATTCAGTTTTATCTTTAATTGGATTAATTTCTTTTGTGTAGTCCTTAACCAGTTCTTCACAGTTTTAGCTTTCATTGCTGGAACAGTCATGTATCATCAACAAACGTTGTTTGCCATGTTTTTCCAGGTCGTTGATTAGCACAGGTCACAGTATTGAACCCTGCAGTAATCTCCTGTTATTTTATTTCCACTGTGAAAACTTATAAACTCTTCCTATCCATCTTGTATTTTCAATACAAGTGGTTATCATCAGCTTTAAAGAAATCTTTGCTCTTATATTATTACAGCTTAATTTGGGCAAGGGACTCTAAGAAGGGCTGACAAGAACTTCTTTGAAATACAAGAACATTTACATAGTAAACTACTCTTTTTTATATGCTTAGGTTTCCTTCAAGGAACTCTATTACTTTCTAAGATATTTCTTTCTACTTTTGCTATTATAGTTACCACTGCTAATTCTATTCTCTGCTATAATATCTTCAAAGTAGTGAAACCAACATTTTTTTGTTCAGAATTCTCCATATTTTCCTAGATACCTTTTTAAGCTATAATTTCAGTTGACATGTAAGAAGCTATGCTTAGTTGTACTTTTGTAACTTGCCCACTCCTAGTGAAGAGTTTCCCAGTTAAGTTCCTGCAGGATTCATAGGTATATGATACCTGTTTCTCCCAAATTGTTAACAAATGGTTATAAACCTGCTAAACAAGACAATATGCGTACTATACATCGACCTATCTATTTGAAATATCTTCTGATGGTATTCTCCTGTAAGACATCTCTCAGGTGTATGAACTTTCCTATTTGTTTTTCCATTAATTGTTACTGAATTACCTAGTTGCAGTTCAGACTCCCTGTGAGATTCTTGCTTCTGTTGTGATAAATACAGTTTTACTTAGTAGATTTTATTCTCACAGAAGTTCCCTCGCCAATTCTTTTTTCTGGCATATCTCATATCAGGTACTTGGTTTTGTTTATTTGTTCCTGGTTTCCTTTTACAATTTTGTAAGATTCAGAGGACAAAAAATGACTTTACAAAGAAATATTTACAAATTCAAAAATAAGACAATGATAGTTAGTCATTAACACACTTCCAGGGACTCTAGATTTCTTCTTTGATAATTTTTACGTAATAACTGTTGAGACTCAGTTTTACTTAGATTAAGATTTGGTGTTATTAAAGGGGCATAAGGAAAAGCATTAGCAAAGTGAATGTTTGATACCTAAAGGGAAGATAATAGAAATACTTGAAGGAAATAAAACCATTTCTTAAAAGAAGACCTGGATGCTTTATGATTAAATTTTATGCTTGACACTGTTCAATTCTTTGAAAGCTAGTGATAATAAGAAAAATTACTTAGTCTGAGCAGCAGCATAAATGAAACCAATAAAACCTAAATAATCTAACTTCTGTATATTAGTTAAATGTAGTTTTATCCCTTAGAGCTAAACTGGATAATGAAACTTGTTACTTAAGGGACTTATCAGTGGAACTGGAAATTTTGATAATTTTAGGTTGCATGTCTAGGGTGCCAGAATTACATACGATTAAAACGTTAGCTACCATGGCTAAGAGGGAGTCCTATGGGTTACGAATTAATACTGTCAAAGGGAACAAAAACGGAGCTAATAGATATTCTTTTTTCTCTTCTTTTCAATTAGAGATAAAAGTGAATTTCCTTTTCTGTTCCTAAGGTTTTTAAAACACATTTTAAATAATCTGAGAAGAAGTACAGATAATTTCTTAACTTTGTAGTCTGTTTAGATAAGCAAAAATAGTTACTGTTGGATAATACAGACAGATCCTGATGGAGGCCTTAGGATTAGACACTGATTATTACAGACAGCTTGTTTTTCAAGTGATGGAAGATTCAAAAGAGATTTTAAGCAGATTTATATGAAAACTTGAGTGGCGGGAACAGAATAACTTTTGGTGTCATTTGGCTTAAAAGAGGTGGGAAATCTTACAGTCAGAAGATAACTATAAAGGAACACCAGGCAGAAAAGTTGAACATTTTTCTGCAAGGTAGAACATGGAGTTCAGACTGTGCCTGAAGCTTTCTAAACACACATAAAAATGTCTCTTTCCTAAAGGGCTCTGAACTTAACGGAACAGTTAAAAAAGTGCAGATAAGATAAAAAAGTGAGAAGTAACTTCTACTCTCTTACACACAGAATATAGTGACAAAAAGAAATGACAAGCATAGGTGGTCCTCAGGCCTAGTTCAGTAAGATGATTACTGAAATGCACTGTCTTTAAAACTGTTGGTCCTGAAATTAGATTTGTATGCTTTTATTCATCTATCTAGGTAAAAATATCTGCAGCTCTAAAATAGATCACCCTTCTTTAATATTCTGGAACGGCTCTGGGTACTGAATACTAGATATTTAAATGTGTTATCTTTGAAAAGTTAAACTTTTAGATTCATTCTGTGTCTTTGCAGATTTCAGTGTCTCCAGCAGTCTGATAAGCATATATTATATTGATATATTTGCTAACGCCAACTTAGACACTGGAAGGTGATCTGAAGTGATTAGTTTTAATTAATAGAGGAGCAAAAAGAAGAAAAGTTTCATACAGCCTGCCACTTTGATGTCGCCAAGTGTATAAATCCTAGAAACACATTTTTTTTAGGATTTTTTGTGTCTGACCGGAAACCAACCAAGCAAACAAAAATGATACTGAAACCAAGAGAAAAGTGATAAAAAGTAATAAATATTAAAACATAAATATAAAAAATGATAAAAACTAATTATTATTAAAATATTGAAAGTATTAAAAGTAATGAAATGTTATGAGTAATACTGATACACAGAATTGGAGAGAAACTTACATTTCAGACTTGAAACTATTTGACATTTATCATGAATTGCTGAAAGCACCAATGATAGCCTGCTGCTTGAGAATGACTTTCATTTCATTTTACCCAAGTTCTTTGTTAGGGAGCATAGTATCAGTTTGGTGCAGGTTTCAGTGTTTGGCATATGTTTACTGCAATGTGACAGCTTAAACTAATTTACAAAAAGAAAAAAAAAAAAATCAGTAATGAACACTGGAATCAACGTGGTATCTCATGTTTATACTGATATTAAAGTCAATATCAATCTGAGCTCTGTATACTATTCCATTCTGTAAAGTCAACTACATACATAATTTTATGTTGACTGCTAGAACAGTGTTGTAAAAGGTGCCTGCAGGGATGGGTGAACTGATGACTGTAGCGAGTATGTAGCTTTTCTTTTTGTGCTATACATGCAAGAGATAACTGAAGATTCAATCTTCTGTTTCCCATCTCATTATGAGGAGGGGAAGAGGTGATGTGTGTATTTCTGGCCTTTGGACTCCCTTTCTCTGCCTCAGAAACACTTGAGAGCAGGTATCTGCCTGCGGCCATAAAAGCTATTAAAAATTACAAAAGCTCAGATCAGCAATTGCATTTTGCAGTTCAGCCAGGGTTTGCAGCTTGAGTACTGCAAATATCTTGGGTCTGCCAGTGAGAAGTAGTGCCTTTGGGAAGACATTCTAAAAATTGTGTGGGGGTGAAGACATGCAGACAAGGAAATAGAGGCTTATGATAAGAATTCTTAGGTGCGTTTTAGTATTTTTCAGAAGTGACCTAAGCATTTAGATGCCTGAACTCTAAGTGCTAAAACCACTTTTCAAAGCACACAAACTCCTAACCCACTTAGAAGACCTCTGCATCAGCATTTTACTTCAAATAAGAGTGCACTTTGAAGTAAAACTCCCAGCTGCAAACACGTTGCCCCTTACTGTGTTTCACATTACAGAGCACAAACTCACCTGCTCAGGATTGTAAGGACTTATCCAGCTTCACCTTGATCTGAGCCAACTGTAGCTTGTTGCAACAGTCCTAGATTTCAAGTGCCTGATGCCTGCCCTGCTGTAGTAGCATACCTTGTTAAGCTTTTGCCCTCCTCAGCTGTCATATAGTTAACACATAATCACCCTTTATATTGGGATCTATGCAACTTTCCAGCTTAAGCTGGGACCCAGTGAGAGGAATGCAGATAGTAAGAGAAAAACCCAAGTAGCCCCCACATCTGTGAAGAAACTCCACTCCTAGACATGATGTCATGATGCAACTCATTCACCCTAAGCCTCTCATTCTTGAAGAAAACTGCATCCATTTAGCTTAGGACCCAGGGGAATATTGGAAGAGTGAGAACTGCACCACAGAAAAGATGTAGATAACAGGAAGGGGGTTATGCAGAGCAATTTGAGCTGTTTCACCTCTTATTAAGGGTTTTTTACTTAATTAGATAATGTGGACTGTTAGGTGGTTAACACATTAATAAGACAAGTAATAAATTTCTGCTGTCATATACAGAGTGTGATCCTTTGTGATCACAGCAAAAAAACAAGGCCTGTGGAACAGATTTCAGGGCCTCAGCACAGTTTTGCCTTTTAAATGCTTGTTCCTTGTGGAATGTGCTTCTTGCTATTGTACCATTAGCATGTGCTTCTTGATATTCCTTTGGCACTAGAATAAGACCAATGACAGTTTTATCTTTCTTTATGCAAAATTGATATCCAAAATATCTTCAGTCAACAGCTGTGAGGCTGCATGGTAACAAGCTCATTCTGTACTTTATCTCAAAGAGGATTTATCCGAAAAGGAACCTCTCTATTGAAATAGGTTCCTTCACTGACCATCGTGTAGCAATTTCTTTCATATTATTTCACAACCAATAATATTTTA